AAATGATTTGCGCTGATTACTTATTTTTGTACATTCCATGAACACACGACATACAGTTTCAGGGAGAGCACATCTTTCAGTTACCGTTTTCATGCTTTCCAAATTTAAATAAGCATTGATTTAAAGCAGAGACCTATTCGTAATCTTGTTATTGTAACATATTCTTTCCTGTTCATTATGCAAATCCTTTCCATACCCACATTCCTTTGAATTCCATATAAATGTCTTCCCTTCTCCTCTTTGTCCCATGTGTTCTGCCACCTCCTCTTTATCTCGGATGCAATCAACCCTTTCACTTCTGCTTTACTTAAGCTGAACTTAAAGTTAATACTTGGCTCTTTTAATGCTTCTTTTGCTATTTGATCTCTTCATTTCCTTCTATTCCAACATGGGCAGGGATCTATAAAAAGCTGACTTTCGTTCCCATTTTATTTATGTACAGTAGTATAATTTATGTAATACATCGTATACAATCCTCAAGGGTTGGTTTTCCCTGCAAAGTTTTACTCCAACACTAATCAAATACACCTGAACAGGCTAATCAGTGTCTTCAATATCACTAGAAAGCTACGGGCAGGTGTGTTTGATTAGGGTTGGAGAAAAACTGGACACTGACCCCCCCCCACCCCCCCCAGGATCAAGTTTGTCCATCCCTGACCTAGGCTTTGACAAAAATGTGTGGCGTAAGCCATAAAGCAGATGGCACTGTTCCAACTCTTTGGTATTTCTATATATATCCATTGTGTAGCAGGGGTCACTCACCGAAAGTTGCAAGGGTGACAGGAGGCTGTTCTGGTGAAAGCAGCTGAATGTATCTAGTTGAAAGCCTTGAACGGCTCAGCTGTCCAGTATTTGAGGGAGCTCCTGGTGTATTATTGCCCCTCACGTCCACTACGCTCAATTAATTCTACTAAGTGGAAAGCTACTTTTGTCTCCTCCACTTTTTGACTTAAAAAAAACGGTCTGATCCGTGACTAAAAATCCATAATGTGATCAGAACCGGAAGCAAAATGAATGGCAGTTTCAAGAGAATGTGAAGTAAGGATGTTGGGCTAATGACCCACCTCATAAAAACTAGATGTTCCGAAACACCAACATGGTGAGGCTAAACATCAACTTTGATATTGTAAGGCTTGAAGTTTACGCTGCTATTCTGAACCAATAATCGGAAACAGAAAGCAGTTGAAGGATGGCGTGTTTAAATCCATTATTTTTCTGACTCCTTTGTAATTAATCTGACTCCATTACAGTTGTTATCATCACTGATAAAGAGAAAGAATCTCAAAGCTTAAGGCAAAGATGTTTATTAAGTTACATGTTTACATATACAGACAGTAGAATGACACAAACTAACATACTGTATAAAGAAATTAGCTGTAACATATGCACTGCTGAGCAATAAAGACAGTGAAGCTGCCTTTGTTAGCATATGAGGCTATGCACCTGTGTGCGGGAGAAGCAGAGTAAAAGCCATTCTCCCAGCTCAACAGTTACCTTTCCCTATTATACCCTGAGCAGAGCATTGTCAAACATGAGTGAAAACCAACCCCCAAAACCAGCTTTACATGAGAACAAAGTTCAGGAGATGAAGTGGGGGAGAAGTACATTAACACACTCTCCATGCTTGGAATGTCTCAGTAGTCCTTCATTAGCATAGAAGGAAATATATATATCATATTTTCTCAGCTTACAATATAAACGGCCCTGGGAGTATGCATTGAAATGATAATAATAAAAAAAAACTGTTGTGAAAAAAAACATTATGGTTAAAAAATTTTTGGGGGGGGGGGGGGGGTCTGGGATTTTGGTGGATAAGGAGCTAGTTAGTAGACCATGTCCAAGCTAATACATTTTTATTTAAATAAGCATATTTTTCTCCCCATTTTACTAATTATAAGGATTAAGGCTGATTTATACTTCTGCGTCAAACACCGGCGTATGCTACGGCGCTGACGCATAGCCCTTCGCCGTGGCCATCGCCGTCACTGACGTGCAACTCTCAAAAATTGTAACCACACGTCGCAACAACGCGTAGCGCAAGCTCTGTGATTGGTCAGCTTGCTAGCGCCGACGAGTCTGGGCGGGACCGAAAGCCGCGCGAATGGCGCGATTGTTTACAAGTGTGGAGTCCCGTGAAGGAGCTCCGGATGGAAAGTTTTGTTCTGTGTTTACCTCATGGTTAAAGTTGTTGCACGTCTGCCGGTTCCTGCCTCAAAATGAGCGAGTTTGAGTCACTTGTACATCCAGGAAGTGTTCAGAATAGCAAAACAGAAGCGAAGAAACTCGACACAGAGGAACATTTACACCTCACTGCCCACTAGCGTTTCGGAAGTGTTAATGCAGACCAACGGAGACAGCGCGCAGAAGTATAAATGCACAGCCACGCGCGTTGCCTGCGCCGTGAGTTGCGCCGGTCACTTGACGCAGAAGTATAAACCAGGCTTTAGTGTGGACGTAGCCTGACTGTAGACTGAGAGAGGCAGCTTTGTGTCTTTGATGCTTTATTCTGACCACAATTTACATCCATCCAACCATCATCAATAAACATAGCAAAATGCGAACATTATTTTGTGTGTGGTCTGCAACAAAACAACGGAAATAATGAATAATAAAATGAACGCTTATACATTCTGCATTACTGTATAAAACAAATTAACTCATTGGAAATGGTATTGTCCATGTAAGGCTTTATACACAAACAGAAGGATTTCAAATTTGATTCTTTGTCTCGTCGATAGCCAATGGAGAGACCTCAAAATTGGAGCGACATGTCCATAACTCTGGCTCTTTGTTTAAAATCTGTTGTAAAAAAAAAAATAAATAAATAAAAAAAAAACTGTAGGAGAGCAAAGAGTTGCAATAGTCTAACCGGTAGGTTATAAGCGCATGTATGGCTGTTTCAAGAGAATGTGAAGTAAAGATGTATAATAATAATAATAATAATAATAATAATAATAATTTGAACTGATGACCTTCACGGCCAATCGCAGTCATTTCTGTTGAGCATGTTAGCAGGAAAGGGACATTTTAAAACCTTCAGTATCGATTGGTACCAAATTCCAGTATCGTGACAACCCTAGGTGGGACTAAAGGCCCGTGCACACCGAGACACGTTTTTTGCTCGCGTTTTCCGTCGACGTTTAACGCCTCGTAACTAAATAAAGGGCGTCAATGTGATTGTGCACACCAACACGCAAAACGCCAGGCGCAAAAGCGTCATTAAAAAAAAAAACGCCTCATGCTCATTTTTTTTGTTTCGATGAGCGGCGTCAAAACCTTCTCCACCAATCAGATCGGCACTTTTGTTCACGTGCACGGAGCTGCTGAAGTTACAGTAAACAGCACTTGGAGGCGCTCAGTCGCAAAAATGTCAATGCGAGCGCACATTGAAGAAGATGCCCAGAGGCGATATGAACGTGGAGCTGCGTATTGCACTGTGAACAATATTCATTTCTTCATCACTAGAGCAGGAGCTGCTGCTTGAACCATATATGCTTGTTCGAGTCACCAGTAAATTTAGCAACAAGCGTGTGAACTTCCGCTCCTCCACTTCTTCTGTGTTATAAGCGGGTGTCAGAAGCTTATAGTTGTGCAGAGCCATCTAACGTCAAAAGAGTGATTTAGCATACTCTTCTGCTCGACGCCAGTGAAAAGCGATTAGGTTTGAACACTGAAAAACGTCTTGTAAAACGATGCTGATAAACGCAAACTAAAAACGTCTTGGTGTGTAGGAGCCTTAAAGGATTATAGTTAGCGAAATTTAACAATCTTTTTAGAAACATTACTTTGAAGAGCATGACCATAAACGTGAAACGCTGTTGAGAATGTGATAAAACAGATGCTGGTTTACAATCTTCATCAATGGGAAAAAAATCTCCTTGCTGGAAAATTTCTCATAGCTCTTCATTCGGAGTGTGGTCCCAAAAAAATCTGTATTTGACGGGCGGTCTAGTAGGGCTGGGCGTTTTGGCCTGAAATCAAAATCTCGATTAAACTCGATAATGATTAATGAATGTTTTAACGCAGTAATGATTAATGAACGATTATTTTTTTTGCCCTCATAGTTCACTGACATGTTTTGTACAGTAAACATATTACAAGTGAGAGATTTTTAAATGAAGGGTGTATCACTTGATTCTAAGGCCATGTCTACACTAATCCGGATAAATTTGAAAACGGAGTTTTCCTCTAAAAACGCTTTACGTCCACACTGTCGTTTCTATCCGTTTTCCAAAACTTTGTCATCCACACTGAAACGACTACAAATGCTTTCACCCTGTAATGCGCATGCGTGAAACATAAGACGATTCGGCACGCGTCATTTCCGCCCGACGTTTATTTTCTTTCCGGCTCTTTGAAACTTTCGGCTAAATGTCAAGGAAAAGCACAGAGTTTTTTAAATGGACTGACAATGAAGTGGAGTTGCTGCGTCGAGTAACACATTAATACAAAATTGCAAAAGAGAGTGAAAATGTAGACTGGGAGACATGCCAAAACAAATACGCCGATATACTGGACCACTTTAAAGAACAGTATCCTGCTGATGACGCTGCTTACCCTCACAGTAAGGACGACATCACTAAACTCATAACCACAATGAAATTAAAGTAAACGAATTAGTAACATGACTGTTACATGACAAAAAAACGCATCATCGTTTTCGAAAGACTCCGTTTTCACAGTCTACACTACGACACGAAAACAGCGTTTTCAAATTTATCCACTTTGGAAAGCGTTTTCAAAAAGATACGTTTTTGTTTCCTAAAAACACGTCTCAGTGTGGACGGAAGGGCAAAACGGAGACAAAGACATGCGTTTTCAAATGAAAACGCACTAGTGTGGAGATGGCCTAAAATAATTGAAGGAGGACACACTATCTTCTATTTATGATTACATATTGAACATCAATGTTGAACAACTGGAATTGAAACACAAATTGCGTAAAACCAAGTCACTTTTGGAAACAAAATAAATTATCAACGTTTTCGAAAGTAGAAAGTATCATTTTCAATAATCATTTTATTTTAATAACAAATACGCCGTCTCGAGGCATATATGGCACAGCTTCCACTCATACCTGAGGGTTCGATGCAGAAGTATAAATCAGCCTTAACAGAGCAGTGTCACATGACTCCATACGCAGTAGAGAAAATTACTGAAAAATTGACCTGGAAAAAAAATTGATTACAGGTTCTGATTGTCGATTTCAATTACTTTTCGATTATTCGCCCAGCTTGACTGTCTAAGTCAGGGGTCACCAATCTCAGTCCTGGAAGGCCGGTGTCTTTGCAGGGTTTAACTCCAACTTTCTTCAACACACCTGCCTGAGTGTTTCAAGTATGCATATGAGACCTTGATTAGCTGTTCAGGTCTGTTTGATTAGGGTTGGAGCTAAAATCTGCAGGACACCGGCCCTCCAGGAACAAGTTTGGTGACCCCTGGTCTAGGTAAATGTTTGCCATTTGGGTAGTTTGAGTAGTCTTAAGCTGCAAATACTTGCACTTGTGTTTGTGCAGGGTTCGTAGCTGACTGAATCATGTTGCAATGTGAACACTAGTTAGTTTTCTCTCCAGTGTGAATCGCCGCATGTTTTTTCAGGTTTTCTGATCGACTGAATCTCTTGTCGCAGTGTGAACAATTGTACGGTTTCTCTCCTGTGTGAATCATCTCATGTCTTTTCAGTTGTCCTAACCTACCGAATGTCTTCTTGCACTGGAAACACATGTAAGATTTCTCTCCAGTGTGAATCCTCTCATGTAATTTCAAGCTTTCTAAGTAACTGAATGTCTTGTCGCAGTGTGAACACTTGTAGGGTTTCTCTCCAGTGTGAATCCTTTAATGAATTTTCAGGCTTCGTAGTTGTCTGAATCTCTTTCCACAGTTTGCACACTTGTGAGGTTTCTCTTCAGAGTGAATCTTCTCATGCATTTTCAGGCTCAGTAACCAACTGAAGCTCTTCCCACATAGTAAACACTTGTAAGGTTTCTCTCCAGTGTGAACCTTCTCATGTGACTTCAGTGAATCTAACCGACTGAATCTCTTGTCACAGTATGAACACATGTAAGGTTTCTCTCCAGTGTGAATTCTCTCATGCGCTTTCAAGGTGTTTGGCAGTCTAAAACTCTTGTCACAGTGTTCACACTGGTAAGGTTTCTCTTCAGTGTGAGTCCTCTTGTGCAGTTTTAAGGCTATAGCTGTAATAAAGGTTTTCTCACACTCAAAGCACATGAACTCTCTCACTCCAGTGTAGGTCTTCTCATGAACTCTTAAAGTGTGGAGGTGTTTAAAAGTCTTTCCACACACAGAGCATGAATAGGATTTCTCCTTTGTATGAACTCTAAGGTGAATCTTCAGTTCTGAAGCCCTCAAAAAGGCTTTCCCACATTGGTCACATTCGTGTGTTTTCTCTCCATTGTGGATGATCATGTGTCTATTACGGGATGAGGCTTGACTGAAACTCTTCCCACACTGAGAACATGTGAACGGTTTCTCTCCAGTGTGGATCCTCATGTGCATCTCCAGACTCTGTTTGCAATTCAGACTCAAGCCACACTGAGTGCAGGTGAATGGTGTCTCTCCCGTGTGGGTCCTCTTGTGTTTATTAAGAGATGTTAAGTATCTGAAACTCTCCCCACACTGAGAACATGTGTATGGTTTCTCTCCTGTGTGGATCCTCATGTGATAATTCAGAGTTTTTTTGCATGACAGACTCTTTCCACACTGAGCGCAGGTGAAATCTGAGCGTTTCTCTTTTTTCTTCAGTGATTTTCCTTTCCCTTTGGAGCGAGTTTTTCCTCTCTTTTTCACAGGTTGGCTTGTCTTCTCCATTAGGCCTGAAATAAAAACAAGAAGACAGGATTTAAAGACTTTTGCAAGAGTTTGGCATGCTGTCCTTGAGCCCTGGGCTCCCTCCTGTCTGCAAGGCAAGAGGGGAGCTCTGAGCTCTGGTAGGTCTCAAGAACTCCGAGCTGACGACAGAAGATTAATGGTATAAAGAGATGTGCTGCTGGATGAGAGTTTGACTGAAGTGCTAAATTTAGATTGATCAAATCCCTTATGGTGCATGTTTTTGGAATGTGGGAGGAAATTGGAGAACCCAGGGGAAACACACGCAAGCACAGGAAGAAGATGCTAACTTCGCACAGAAACGGCAGCCGGCCTGTCTAAGGACTAGAACCGGTGACTTTCTTGCTGTGAGGCAACAGTGTTAATCTCTGGGCCACCGTGCCGTGCTATAAAGGGAAAGGTGGAGGAGTAGGAGGGACATTCTTCAAATTCAAGATGACTGTAGTTAGAAACCCTGGCTCTTTATAGTGGGTAAGGAATCGTCTGATTGGTGAATCATACATTAGTTAATGCAACAAAACCACAACTGAATGGCTAAACCCTCACATAAAGGTTTATTAATTGTTTTTATACTAAGGTGGTAAAACACCTCAGCCGCAAGAAGCCGAGCTAGGTTTCAGTTTCCAGTGATAACAGAACTCTTTGGAATACATACGAGTTGTTGCCGTGGTAATGTACAGGAGTTGGACATTGAACTGAAACTCTGGACAATTTAGGGTGGGAAATTTCATGGCTAATTTTGACCAGCTTGGAGGCCAATCTTTATTGATTGCACATTCCACCAGTAAGAACCGAGTGTGAAGAAGTTTTAATTAGCACAGATTTGCTTAAAATATTGCAATGCACACAACGATTTGGGTGACATATCAGACTTTAAATGAGGACAAATTGCTGGTTTGGGTCTTATTGGTGCATCTGTGAACAAGACAGCAAGTCTTTGTGATGTATCAATAGCCACGGCATCCAGGCTAATGTCAGCATACCACCAAGAACTGTGGTCTCAAACTTAATTCCTGGAGGGCCACAGCTCTGCAGATTTTAGCTCCAACTCACACCTACTTATTAGTCTCTAGTAGTCTTGAACACCTTGATTAGTTGGATCAGCTGTGTTTGATTAGGGTTGAAGAAAAATTGTGCAGAGCTGTGGCCCTCCAGGAATAGAGTTTGAGACCCATAACCGAGAAAGACAAACCATATCCAACAGGAGTAATTGGAGATGCAAGAGGAAGCTGTCTGAAAGAGATTTCTGGGTGCCAACCCAGATTGTATCCAAAAAAAAAAAAAAACACACAGCTGCCCAACTCACTGTGGAGTTAAATGTGGACCTCAAGTCTCCTGTTTCCACCAAAACTGTTCATCAGGAGCTCCACAGGGTGAATATATATGGCTGGCTGCTATAGCCAAACTTTTGGTCACTCGTGCCAATGCCAAACAGCAGTTTCAATGGTACCAGCAGCGAAACTCTTGGGCTGTGGACAGTGTGAAACAAATTGTTCTCTGATAAGCACGCCTTCACTGTCTTTCCCACATCTGGGAGAGTTACAGTGTGGAGAAGCCTCAAAGAAGACACTTTAGGCATGCAGCAGTCGATCATGGGGATGGATCAGTGATAATTTGGGCTTTAATATCATGGGATTCCCAAAGCCCAATACTTGTGCTAGATGGGCGCTGGGTCGCTGCCATGGATTACCAAACCATTCTGGAAGACCATGTGCACCCAATGGTGCAAACATTGTATCTTGAAGGCGGTGCAGTGTATCAAGATGATAATGCCCCAATACACATAGTGATGGAGTAGTTTAATGAACATGAAAATGCAATTTGGACATCTCCCATGCCTTGGACATCACTGTGTCATGGTTTTCCGGCCTAATCAAACTCAGTCTGGAGGCTATGAATGTCAGAAGAATAGACTGTATTGGGAATTATAATAATGCAGAGACGTCCAGAGTAAACCTATCTTCAGTCTCTCCCCAGGACAATCTGATGTCCCTTAAAGTTGCTGTACCCTTCTTCCTTCCCACCTTTGTGTTTTCACAGCTCCAAGCTCCTACTCCTTTATGACCCCAATTTAACCCCCTCCCTCTTCTTTTTGGCCCTTATAAAATTGTACAGATCTAATGTATTCATCACTGTTTTCCACATACAGTTCAAATTTTGCAATTATGATTTCTGTTTACGTCTCAACATCTAAACTGGACTGGGGATTTCTCTCCCATATAGTGTGTCTTATCAAACATACATGACAATTTGTTGAACACATTTCATGCTTTTCTGGCTGTATTTACACAGATGGTTCTGCATTGTATTCCCAAACCCTCTTTTAGGACCCCTTGCCTTAACATACCACCTGTTTTCAAAGACATATAATGGCAGATTCATGGCCCTCCACTCATCCATTTCAAGAGTTCACACTTAGGCCGTACTCACACTAGGTACAGTTGCCTCGAACCGGGCCAAAGCACGCTTGTCCCCCCTCCCGTCTCCCCCGACGGCCCGCGCTCACACCATATTGGGCCTCGGCACACTTACGTCATCGCTGCTGGGCTGTTCAGAAGCGCTCTCTATGGCAAGCCTTTTAAGCATTTAAATCTTTGTTCTGACTCCCTAAATATATTTAGAGATATCTCTAATTATATTTTGACTAGTCATAATTATAATTCGACTAGTCAGAATGACAATTAGAGATATCTGCAATTACAATTGTACTAGTACGAAATCAGATTGGAGATATCTCCAAATATATTATGACTAGTCATATTCCTCCATTGACTTCCATTGAAAAATATTTGCAGATATCTCAAAATGAGTTTTGACTAGTGACAATTGTAATTAGAGATATCTCTGAGTTTTTACTAGTCATAATACATTTGGAGATGTCTTTAATTCATCATATTTAGACATATTTACAAAAATATTTGAAGATCTCAAATTAATTTACTAATAGTCGAATTACAGTTGTAGATATCTTGAATTGGATTTTTGACGAGTCAAAACTCAGAGATATCTGTAAATATTTTTCAATGGAAGTCAATGGAGGAATATGACTAGTCATAATATATTTGCAGATATCTCCAATCTGATTTCGTACTAGTACAATTGTAATTGCAGATATCTCTAATTGTCATTCTGACTAGTCGAATTATAATTATGACTAGTAAAAATATAATTAGATATCTCTAAATATATTTATGGATAGTCAGAACAAGGTTTAAATGCTAAAACGGCTTGCCATACGCTCTCGCTCAGTAGCACAGTGGAGATTTCTCTAGTTATATCGTTTCAGTTGTTTGACATGCAGTCAAATATTTCGCCAAACAGTCCTTAGGGATGCGGGGACACGCAGTCAGATATTTCGCCAAACAGATACGCCACTTTTGCCGCTCATAAACAATCATTAAGCTCTCATGCTGCAGGAATGAGGAGGTCTGCTGAAGGCGCGCAGCTGGCGTGCAGTGAGGGGTTTGCGTCTTTAATAAACGACGGCAGTTTGCGTTCACTAAACAGTAAGAATGATTAATAAATCCATATCAAACAGTCCCTTAAATGTCACGTCTCGCTTTCGGGCTTTGGCGCATTTTGCACTCACACACAAGCGTACCGCGCCAAAGCCCAAGTGTACCGCGCTCAGGCACACCTCTTCCAACCGGGCCAGGGCTGGCCAAGTAAACCGTGCTTGAGCGCGATTCAGCGCACTCACACTTCTCAAACGATCCGGGAAACGGGCCTGGGCACGGTACGGATGGCATAGTGTAAGTAGGCCCTAAGATACTGCTTGACGCTATTAGCAGGTTTGGCATGTTGTCCCGGGAGAGAACCCTGAGCTCGGAGATAATTGAGCCCAGGGCTCCTGCCTGGTCGATAGAGCATGTAAGGGGTCAGGTGGTTCTTGAGAGCTCCCTGTGATGAAGGAAAAGAGGGGGAGAAGGGGTGGATGGGGGGTTTCTTCGGAAAATGAAGGGAGTATTTTTTTTGCTAGGCTACTTATAGCGAGTTTGGATTAATCTGATTGGCTTACTAATGATTGCAGATGAGAGACCAGCAGAGGTCAATCATATCACGTGCTCCTCTCGAAATTAGTTTGTGAAACTTCACTTAAATGCATTTTTTCATGGTTTTAGCAAATATAAATCTTTTTAAACAATCAGCAGATCTAAATAATTTTAAGCCACTTTGGGGGGTTTTGGAGGAGCGAGTCAGGTAACATATTCCTCTACCAGCATCATATAGTGGCCTGGCCACTATTCTGCTAGAATGACTCAAAATCCCCCTGGCCACTGTGAAGGACTTGTTATGCTCATCCCCAAGATGAACTGATGCTGTCTTGGCTGCAAAAGAAGGCCCTACACCAGGGCTTCTCAAAGTCTGGACCCTGAGGGTATTTAATCCAGACCAGACTCCGTTTCATATTGCAAGAGCATGCGTAAAGGATTCAAATTGTGGACTTCCTTCATTGACAAATGCATAAACCTTGTAAGTTAACTGATTAGTTATTTGACCAAAATAAAATCAAAGGCAAAATATTCAAAGTTTTCCTGCGTGACTCTGTTGACATTCAGTGATCGTACAAGGCTTTACGTGATCAAGCGGGCTAATCGCGCACGCGCCTCATTTGCAATCATTTGAATGCATGAAGATGTCGGTCTCAAGGAAAAGTAAACTTAATAGGGAGAACAGAGCATTCAAAGTTGAATGGACAGATAAGTACCTGTTTATTTTGCCACAAGTCAGCACAAAGCCATTCTGCTTGATTTGTAATGAGACAATTGGAGTTGTAAAGAGTGAAAATGTGAAACGCCACTATGAAACGAAACATGGACATTTTAAACGACAGTCCCCACAAAATACATATATAAGTGTAACGGAGGCCAGCTAGTAAGTGCTGTGCAGGTAAAACCTCACTCCTCTGATCTCTAAAGGTGCCCTAGAGACAGACGCTAGAGGCTATGGTCTTTAGCCTCCTTGGTAGAGCAACCAACTCCCATGC